GAGCGGCTTTTAGGGCTTTTGTACATAGGGTCGCTATGAGTTGCAAGCGACTCGATGGCACATAACAACAACAACAACAAAGCACTTACTGATAAAATGTAATAGCCTTCAGTACAGATTATACCTCAACATAAAGAAAACAAAAATCCTCATTAATAAACAAAGAAAAGGTTGAAATTGTCAACAATTATATTTTACTTGGATCCACAATCAGTATCTATGAAGCAGTAGGTAAGAATTCAAGCAAAATACAGCAACGGGCAAATCTTCACCAAATGGTGGGCCTGTTAAACAGCTAAGGAGCCAGGATATCACTTTGAAGTCTGAGTTGCACTTGGTTCAGGCCATGGCATTTCAATTTCCTCAAATGCATAGTTGCAATAATGAAGGATTTTCTCAGCAAAATCTTGAATGACTCAGGAAGCATCAAAAGAAGATGTAAGGAATACACAGAGTCACTGCAAAAAGTAATCGGTCAAGACTGAAACTGTTTAAAAAGTACTATATAATCAAGAGCCAACAGTATAGAAGGAGGACATTCAAGCTGAACTGAAGACACCTGCAAAATCAGGCCCCAGGAATTGATGGAATACCAAGTGACATGTTTCAACGGACAGACACTGCCCTGGACATGCTTGCCAGACTACACCTACAAATTTGGAACATAGCTTCCTGACAAATTGATTGGAAGAGATACTTATTTGTTCTCATTTCAATAAAAGATAACCCAACAGAATGTGAAAATTATTGTTACTATCACATGCCAGTAAGATCTTGCCAAAGATTATTCAAAAACACCGGGAACAGTACATTGGCAAGGAATTGCCACAAATTCAAGATCGATTCAAAAGAAGCTGTGGAACAAGGGAAATCGCTGCTGATGTCAGATGGATCTTAGCTGAAAGCAGCCTTGTGTCTTGTTGACTATACAAAGGCATTTGGCTGTGGCGTTCATAACAAAATATGGCTAGCAATGAAAAGCAGTTTTCTGAACAGAAAAAGGAAACACTGCATGGTTTAAAATCGGGAAGTGCATGTGTCAGTGCTGTATCATTTTTCCACATGTATCTGACCAGTATGCTGAACAAATCATTCAATAAATGGACTATATGAATAATATGACAACAAGACTGTAGGAAGATGCACCATCAGCCTGTATTATGCAGATGACACAACCTTGCTTGCTCAAAGTGAAGAAGACTTGAAATGCCTGCCGCAGAAAATCAAAGACTCTATATGACTTCAGTATGGATTACATCTCAACATCAAGAAAACAAAAAGCCTCACCAATGGACCAGAAGGCAACTTCAAGATAGATGGAACAAAGTTTGAAGTTGTCAATGACTTCATTTTACTTGAATCTACAATCAACACTGATGGTAGAAATAGTGAAGAAATCAAAGGAGGTGTTGCACTAGGAAAATCTGCTGTCAAGAACCACTCCAAAGTGCTAAGGAGCAACAATGTCAGCTAGAAGACTAAGGTGTTCCAGATCCAAGTCATGGTCTTTTTAATCACTTTCTAAGCATGTAAAAGTTGGACAATGAATACAGATGACAAAGAATCAATGCCTCTGCCTGGTGATGTTGTAAAGAGTACTAAACATTTCTGAAACAAAAGGATACACAAGACTGTCTTGGCAGAAGTACAACCAAGTTGCTCCTTAGAGGCAAAATCATCATCTCATGTACTTTGGGCATGTTATCAGATGGGCCAGTTCCTGGATACAGCAAGGTTCTGATGTGCCATTCGTACAATGGAATACTATGCTGCATTAAAAACCAAGGAACTCATGCAATATTATTCAAAATGGTT